GTAACACCAAAACTTTTCTCCATTCTGAACGCGATCAGACCCTTTGGATTCGTTCATTGGGGCCAGTGGGTGATTGGTGGCCTGATGAGCCGAAGTATCTGCGACAGCTTGATTGAGAGCCACGCAGGGAAGGCTTTGCCCCTCGAGGGTCTCGCTAGCAGTCGAGTGGGTCTGGTGGACGTGGAGTTGTAGCATGAAAATAATAAAATTTGGTCTTTTCCTACATTTCATCAGAGAATAGTTGAGTCGCTGCCACGACAGCTAATTACGGTAAAGAGACTTCCAGTTTTCTGATGGTTAAGAATGATCACCTAATTGTGGGTTGAGTTGAGTTGAGTTGAGTTGAAATGAGCTGATTCAGAGTAAAATATAGTTTTTTGGTGTATGATGGAACCGGTTCAAGTGGGAGGCATGGCACAGGGAGGCGAATGTTATTCTGGAGGACAAGAACTGATAAGCCTCGCAGGAGCAAAATGCTTGTGCCTCAGGCTTCAATATGCCGGCCATATAGGCCCATCAATTATTTGTTTGCTTTTTATCAGGTCTCACATGCCGCCACGCATACTGGGACATGCGTGCGCAGGCGCACAAGTGCACATGTTCTCGAGGTGGTGGAGGCACGTGGGTTTTACAGTTATTCACTTGTTGTGCCTTTCCGTCTGACTGCCCTCGAGAGAGCGGGAGAGATGCAGTCCCCACAAGAGACAGCCGACACCTATGCACCTACATGCATCTGGAAGCATGTATGTATGCATCTATAAGGGAGGTAGATAGATGGGGTGAGTTGGACAGGGCGAGAAGCTGATCAAGATAGCCGAACTCCTCTTCTCCCTCTCAGACAGGCTCCGTGAGAGTTGGAACTGGACGTTATAGCGAGTAGTACAAGAAAATTGCAGGTTACCATCACGTGTTTGCCAATACGCGAGGACCAGTTGATTTGTGGCCCAATTTCGTGGCTGCCTCACCGAATGCTTGACTCCCCCCGGCACAGACACAACTCCCCGACCCTCTTCTCCAATCCGTCTTGCCCACATACAACTTCACCTTCTCTTCTGCCTTTATCAAATCATCTGCATCTTCTGTCGGTCTAACCCTCGGCACACCCTCCACGTCTGCCCGCCTTTGCCTCCTTTTCCGGCGGACTCTCATCCCCACTCTTGCTCAAGAGCCCAGCCCTCTTCTCTCCACAATCCCTTCGGCTCAGGGCTCTCACGCACAGGCGCTAACTTCTGTCGGGCTCCTATTAAAATTTACTGCCTTATCGGATGAACTGGTTGAGCTGACTCGATTTCGAGCGTTGGGCCCTGGATGCTCTGAGGATGGCAGCGGTTGCAGATTAAAGTGGGCCAGGCCAAACAGGCTGTCTCAGGCCCCTCCTACTCTTCTCATACATGCCAACTCGGGCTCACACAGACACACATGGCTGTGTGCATCATCAGACCTAGCTGTAGGCTGGATGACCTGCCGATTCGGCAAAGGATAACTGAGCACCCTGCTGCCGGGCGAGCGGGGTGGGCAAATCGCCCTGGTCGCTGTGCCTAGGCTGCTTATCACTCTACCTGTTCACATGCCTATTGCCATTTATGCATGCTTGTGTGTGTGTGCGCGCAAAATGTTCATGTGATATTGTGAGTGTATTCGTTGGTTCGATGACGTGTTCTGTTTGGTTGTGCATTGATGCATGAGTGCGTATGTGCGTTTGCGTGTGCGTATACATTTGTGTATATATTGCTGTCATGGGAACGCAACTGTTGACGTTGTGGGTGATTTGGGTAGAAGATGGACATGTGTGGGTGTATGGGTTTGTGTGTATGTGTGTTTCGTGTGATCGAATCATCATCTCTAGGCCAATCTGATGCTATTCGATTAGAATCACTACAAGACGCCAAATTCAATTCGGCTTCCGTCTCAATGTGTCGCATGCCGACGAGGCAGTATGGCTATGAGTAGCATTGCAGTCAATATCAAGAATAGTTGCCACACTTAACGACTTAGAAACGTTGAGATGAGGGACGCATGTAGTTACTACTACGTTCACTTGCTTCCACCATCTCAACGTGAGCCTGCCTTTGCTCTGTCTGCTTATAGCCCACGACATCTTTCTTCGTCTCTCTCACTTCTGCTTTCTTGCCGTCTGTATCTCCTATTCCATCTCTTCTTCCCACCTATCCAGTTTGAGTTGCCATTACTTTGTGTTTAGTTAAACTGGGGTCTTCATATGAGGCTGCAAGATGGCCAATTGCCCTCTCTCAGCTATCGCTTATGGCTAACACCAGCAGAAGCCTCATCGACTTCGTTAGCTCGAAGCTTTCCAAACTCCACTCGCTCTCCGTACCGACACCTGGTTTTACGCTTTTATCTTCCATCGAAGGTCGGGCTAACGGAGCATAATTAGAATTTGCTTAGAATTGTCATAGCGACTACATTAAGATGATTTAGCGAGGTGCACATTATGGTTTTAGAGAATGACTGGTGCTGGTTTCGGAATCTGACTGGTTTCGATGACTCTCCGGAGAGGAAATTTTGAGAAAGTTTGTGAAGAAAATCTTCACAGGTTGATCTAATGCCAAGACAATGGCTGATCTTTCTTTCACTTTTATGATGACGTAATCCACGAGCCATCCCCCCCTTCGGTTTAGGTGAAAAAGGAGATTCTTAATGAGGACTGATTAGCTCCAAAATTCGGTTGTGTCTCAACAAGTGCCATTAGATTCTGGCCTCACCAGATAGTCAGAATGGATAAATAATGTGTGTGCCTTAGTTCCACTTGTAGTCATGGTGTTCTAGAAAAAAATGGGATAAAACCTAAACCAATACTTTTACTATGCTAACTATTGATGATGGTACTTCAAGTCAGTGAGGCCAATAGTGTTCTACACATTAAGTCTAAATGGAGTGCCAATGAGGCAAAAGTTTTTCGGGGTCATCCTAACAACATGACTACGTTGTGAAAACAAGTTCAAATCGACTAGTACCACAACGTTGAGGAACATCAATTTTTTTATTACTAGCAAATTGGCTAAGGCTAACGGGAAGTGTTCAATTAGAGAGTCTGTCAGACAGATTATTAGATGTTAGACCGCAGAAGATGATCTTAACACTTTAGGGGCATCTAATCTGCTCCACCTTACTGACCTCGAAATAAAGGGGGATTTAATCAGATTTCGTTGCAATAATGGTCGATGTTTTTGTCATCGGTGCAGTGGATAACTTGCAAGATAGGCAAAAGAAGAGTTCACGATAGACCAATCAGTAGTGTCCTGAAGATGCACCAGCTTTGACAGATTCTTTAACTAAGTGAATTTCAATGCAAAATTCGTGCTTTCGCTCTACCCAATCGCGGCATTTAAAGCAGAAACCAGTAGAAACTTGTTCATCCTGGCAATAACCAGGTTCCTGGTGAGTGAGGAATGCAGCAAAATGATAGTTTGACTGATCCAAACTCAACCACATTTCTGGAGTTTAAGAACCTCAAGAAAAGCTCATAGAAATATAGTCTATATGAGTACCCTTTCTATGATATCATTACTTTATGATGCCGTTGGATACAGGATCAGGATCCCTTCTACCTGCCTTGTGCTATTTCCCTATCAAATGATAACACAATAATGACTGATGGTCGAGTTGGATTCTAGCGACAGAGAGCTGTTAATAGGTTTCAAAGGAATTCATTAATGAAGCAAATATTGATATTTTCTTTCATTGACACTGCTGTTTGATTAGACAATTTTGTAGGTTACTATCTGATTTGTCCAAGAAAATTGTCAAATTCTAGTGGGCTGCAACTATTTTCGATAACGATAACCTTATGCTCTGGAGGGTATTAGATCCTTTGTTTCCGTCCCGTGGCCAATGCTGGCCGCTATTGTCCAA